GTACCAGTCACGAAGCTGCTGCTGTGTGAGAGACGGCTCAGCACCCCGAACCGGAGCACCCCCAGACGCAGCAACCCCAGGCTCCGCAGGCTCAGTCGCAGCACCCCCAGGCTCAGTACCCTCAGGCGCAGCACCCCCAGGCTCAGCACCCCCAGACTCGGCACCCCCAGGCTCAGTACACCCAGGCTCCGTACACGCACGCTCAGCACCCCCAGTCGCAGCACCCCCAGGCTCAGCACCCCCAGGCTCCGTACTCTCAGGCACCGTACCCTCAGCTCCAGCACCCTCAGTCCCAGCACCCGCAGCCCCAGCACCCCCAGGCCCAGCACCCCCAGGCTCAGCACCCCCAGGCTCAGCACTCCCAGCAGCACCACCCGCAGCAGCACCTGAGTCACCTGTGACCTCGACAGGCTCAGTGACGGGAGGAGGGTCTACCTGAGAGACACCTGAAGGAGCAGGACCCTGAGGGGGAAGGGGGTCTACCGGAGGGGGACCAGGAGCGAGGAAAAGCGGCGGGGGAGGGAGGGGGGCAGTGCGGTAGGGGAAGAGACGGTAAAAAGGGACCGACTCGTCAAAGGTGACGTCCTGAGAGGCGAAGACCCGGCGCGAGGTGGGGTGGTAAAACTGCCAGCCAGGCGCGTCAGGGACAAAGCCAAGGAAGACACAGGGGACAGCGCGGGCGGAGAGCTTGTCCGCGGTGGTATTGCGGACAAAGGCACGAGAACCCCAGACCCGGAAACGCGACGCATCGCCAACCTCCCCCGTCCACAGCAGTGTGGGCGAGGTCTCCGGCAAGGAGACACGGGGCCAGAGGTTGAGCTGATGCGCGGCGTACCGGACCACAAACGGCCACAGAAAATGGGGGGCAGCCGCATGGACCATGGAGGTACGAGCGACCTCCATGACCAAGCCAATGCAGCGCTCAGCAATCCCATTCTGCTGCGGAGAGGCCGGAAGCGTGAACGACTGGGTGATGCCGTGCTCCGCACAGTAGGCTGCCAAGAGGTCGGAGGAAAACTCACCACCTCTGTCAGAGTGCAGACGCAGGACGGGAAACTCTGTCCCGAACCGCCGGCGGAGCTGGAGACGAGCAGCGCGGATCCAGGGGATCAAAACAGTAGGGACCTCACCCTTGGTGCGCAAGGGGAAGACCGTGGTGTAACGCGTGTAGTCGTCGACGACCAGCAGGAAGTACCGCTCGTGGTCCTGTCCACGGACGCGGGCTGGGCCCCATACGTCCATGTGGAGAGTCTGCAAGGGAGCCTCTGTGGGAGGGAACGAGGAGGAGTGAGGAGCGGCGCGCTGCCGCCCCTCGACACAGGGAAGACAGGGAGGAGCAGGCGAGGGTGGGAGGGGAGGGAGAACTCTGGGAAGACCAGAGACAAGGACACGACGGTGCATGCTGCGAAGGCGCTGCACCGAGGGGTGACCAAGGCGGTGGTGCCAAAGGAGGGTCTCGTGCGACAAGGCGCGACACAAGCAGGGGGCCGACAGCTGACCTGACGTAGACGCAGACGCAGCTACCTGAGGGGACTCAGTGGTCAGGGTGTACAGGCTCGAGCCAGGCTCACGGGTGAAAGTGGCCAGGTGTCGGCCCGTCCGAGCACACGTACAGTGAGTCACCCGCTGACGCGCAGGAGTGAACTGGTCAACCCCCCCATCCTGGAGGTCAGCTCCACTCACCAGGTTCGTAGAGAACGAGGGGAGGTAGAGACCTGACAGCAAGCCAGACGGGGCGGCCGGACACGGCAGAACCGTGGAGTGGTGGGCAAGGACTGGACCCCCAGAGGGGTCGGCCAGGGAGACTGCAACCGGCCGACGAAGCGGCGTAAGTGTGGTGCAGTCGCGAAAGAAGGAGCGGGAAGCTCCTGAGTCAAGGGTGAAGGTGTGCAGGGTCGCAGCAGGCGAAGAACCTGAGAGGGCAGACTCACCAGGACCTGGAGCAGCAGCCTCACCAGCACCTAGAGCTGGAGACGCAGTAGCACCTAGAGCAGCAGCCTCACCAGCACCTAGAGCAGGAGACGCAGTAGCACCTAGAGCAGCAGCCTCACCAGTACCTAGAGCAGCAGGCGCGATACCTGGGTCAGGCGGCGCACACAGGTAACAGGCACGGTCAGCACTAGTAGGCAATGCATACATGGCAGTGAGAATAGCATCATAGTTAAGAGCAAATATATCTACTCTCTGCCTAAGTAGCTCCACCCAGTCGGGGAGCTCAGCCCCGTCGCCAAACTCGGTGCGCCAGGCGTCGCTCAGACGGGCGAAGCAGCGGGACTGCGTGTGACTAGGTGTCCCGCAAGGCTGACCAGTCCGAGCACCAGTGCGAATGACGTAAGAGCAGCGAACAGAACTGAGAGACCCTCTACTCTGAGCGTACCACTCACGAAGCTGCTGGGGCGTGCGAGACTCGCGTGGACGACAGTGTAGCTGCATCTGGCCACCGCCAGTAGCAGCAGCAGCAGCAGTGGCAGCAGTAGCAGCGCGGCCACCCCTACAACCCCAACTAGCGGACCACTCACGCAGCTGCTGGGGCGTGAGGGACTCACGCGGACGTCGCTGGGGCTGCATCTGGCGTCGGCCAGTAGCAGCAGGTCAGGCAGGCAGGCAGGCCGGCGGCGCGGCAGCGCGCTAGCAAGGCAGGGGCTCACCAGTAGCAGGAAGAGCAGGCTCTCACCGGGCGAGCAGGGCCGGTGCTCGGCGGACGGCGGCAGGGTCAGCGTACGACGGCGGCGACAGCAGGGCCGTGGCAGCGGCTACAGTGAAGGGCCGGATCGAGTCAGCGGCAGGGCAGGGCCGGGTCGTGGCAGCGGCAGGGCAGGGCCGGGTCGTGGCAGCGGCAGGGTGGCGCGAGCCGCTGCCGGGGGCCGTGCACTGGCGGGTAGGGCGCGGCGCGGGCCGCGCGGACGGCGCGCAGCGCGCTGCGGGCCGCGGACGCGCCGCGCGGACCTGGGGCGAGTTGCGCGGGGCAGCGGCGGGCCGCGCGCGCGTCGCGCGGGCTCGGGACGGGCTGCGCGGGGCAGCTGCGGGCCGCGCGCGCGTCGAGCGGGCTCGGGACGGGCTGCGCGGCAGGCAGCGCGACGGCGGGCAGCGCGGCAGGCAGTGCGACGGGCGGGCATCGCGGCGGGCAGCGCGGCGGGCGGGCAGCGCGGCGTGCAGCGCGACGGGCGGGCAGCGCGGCGAGCGGGCAGCCCGGCGAGCGGGCAACGCAGCGGGCGGGCAGCGCGGCGTGCAGCGCGACGGGCGGGCAGCGCGGCGAGCGGGCAGCGCAGCGGGCTGCGCGACTGGCGGGCGACGCGGCAGGCAGCGCGACGGTGGGCAGCGCGGCGGGCAGCGCGACGGGCGGGCAGCGCGGGCGCACGAGGGCGCTAACTGGGGCGCGTGAAGGCGCTAACGAGGGGCGCGCGAGGGCGCAGCGAGGGCGCGCGAGGGCGCTAACGAGGGCGCGCGAGGGCGCTAACGAGGGCGCACGAGGGCGCAGCTAGGCTAGGGCACGGGGTAGCGTGGTAACCGCATGCGAGCGGTGGTGGGCCCTAAAAAAAACGGTCGGTAGGTCCTAGGGACCTCCTGCTCTGAATACCATGTCAACAAGACTAGGCAAGAATGGTGCATTGAATGAAACAGTTGGGTACAAGTAGCAAACCCTAGTTGGGGTTGTACCCCATATTGGCTACCCCACTACAGCCTACCAACATGTAACACATTACAATTTAACACTTCCGGCCCTGCGTGCAGGAGCTGCGCTTCGGCAACGGCAACAGCTACTCCATGGTCAACTCCGCCACTGAGTGCCAGCCCGCGGCTGTTATTTAGACTAGGCCCCTCATACTGTATCATGGATAATGTTCGTGATAAAAGTTTCATGTGGTGTAGCAGAATGAGATTAAGAGGTGTAGTTGGTGGAGGGGGGAGGTGGGGTGGAGGTGTGGGTGGAAGGCAATAATAATGCTTGTGATGTTTATATGATATGTAAGGTCAATGTTAACTCCAACTCTGTCCACCATTCTGCTTTTCCAAAAATGTCACCGCTATCTTCAATAATTCCATAAGGCGAGGAGGCGAAAGTGTCACCACAGTTAACGAAACGATTCCCGAGGGTAACTGACAAGCCTTTCTCAGTCACACCTCGTGACTCGTCCCACTACCGACCCCGTGTCTCTTAGTGAAAAGACTCTCTTAGGACGCGTCAACTCCCAGAACTCTAGCAGGATCGAGGCAAGATCGGCTGTGCACACCGATCTTGGCAGGATCGGTGTGCACACCAGTGTGCTCCACCTGCAAATCGGCAGTGTACCCCTACCATCGAGCCCCACTTGACTAGGGAAATTTGCAGGGTCGGTGTGCTGGGCTGGCCTGTCGCATGCTGCAAATCCGCCTTCGCATGCCATCGCAAATTGACACTCCCAACAGTGTCTGTGCGACTTGACTTGGGTTTTCGCGGATGTTTGTTACTGGTTTTTGTGGCGGGATTGGTTTTGGCGGTTTCTAGCTTGTGGTCTGCGTGTACAGAAGTGATTTTGCAGGGTGGCAGGTTTTGTCGTTGCTGCGACTCTGGCATGTGTCGCTCGGACCCATGAGCGACGCCGATCGATCGCGGCTGTCAACTAGCGCGCGATTGTAGCTCCCGCTCACCGAAATGCCACGATCAGTGTGTGGCAGGTGGCAAGGTGTCCCGAGATCCGGAGGGGACATCGGGACTAATGGCAGATTTACTGTGCAATGGCGAAATATGGCGAAAACTGGCAACACGACACTTCGCTAGCTCGTGAATGTACTGTACATATGGCACATCGATCCTACGGAGGATCGATGTGCCCAAAGTGCTGGGAGTTGACGCGTCCTTAGTAGTTTACCTCCCGTCCATTCCGCTCATTACGATTTTCACCATGGTTCCCGCCACGTTTTCAGCGGCGTACGAGCCAGAGCAAATGTCGCAAATCCTCGTAGAATTTCTGCATGGGTGAGAATCAGCTCGGCGTTCTTGCTCCCAAAGAGTTTCCTTCATGGACTCACCGCTTCGCTCCTTGCTTCGTCCGCACGTTCTCTATCCTCTATTTCTCTTGTTTCTCGTCGTAACACTCATTCTCACCCGCGCTCCCCGTGCTCCTGACGGCCGCAAAATCCTCGAGTTTTCGAGGCGCCGAATTTCGTTAAGCGCGTCGTCCCATATCGAGGATGATGCGTCAGGCTTCGTGAGTGCGACAGCCGGCGACAGCGTTCTGGACGCGGTAGGCGATGCGACGGGCGAGGCGAACCCTCGCGTCGTCCACGTGGCGTTCGATCCGCTCTTGGCGGAGGTGGAGCAGCAGCGGGACGACCGCGCGTGGGAGCGGCGGTACGCGCGCCTTCACGGCGCGCGAAAGCCGTTCCGCGTGCACTCGGACGATCCGCGGAAGCACCACCTGCACGGGGAAGGCGTGGGGGTGGGGGACGAGGAGGCGGACGACGGGACGCTTGAGGGGAGCGAGCTGGCGGAGTTTGAGGAGGAGCGCGCGCGATACAGGGACGAAGAGGATGACGAGATGTGGGGCGACCTTGAAGGGCAACACCACGAGTTCACAGAAGGTGATAGTGCACTCATAAATCTTCGAGAATCCATTTCTCCGCCTTTTTTTTACTGTGGAATATGGTAGTGTTTCGTAGTCAATCACAAAGGCGCTGGAGGGGAGCGAGCTGGCGGAGTGTGAGGAGGAGCGCGCGCGATATAGGGACGAGGCGGACGACGCCATGTGGGGCGAGCTGGAAGGGCAACACCACGAATTCACTGAAGGTGATAATAGGAAAGGAACGCTCTCTGATATCCTCCCCCACAACCTCCTCATTCCATCTGTTCCAATTCCCCTCTCCTTTCCTCTCCCCCCTCTCCCCAACCTCTTCTTATCCCTGCAGACGACTTAAGGCACGGCCACTTGAACCTCTCCCACCGCCTCTCCCCCGCATGCTCTCAATTTGATCCCAATACCACCCCCCCACCCTCCACACCCCCACCCCCTCCCCTCTCCCTGCAGACGACTTGAGGCACGACCACTTGAACCTCTCCCACCGCCTCTCCTCCTCTTCATGCTGTCAAGTCACTTTCAATACCACCCCCCCACCTTCCACACCCCCACCCCCTCCCCCCTCCCTGCAGACGACTTAAGGCACGACCATTTGAACCTCTCCCACCGCCTCGCCCTCCTCTTCGTGCTGTCAAATCAACCTCAATCCCCACCCTCCACACCCCCACCCCCTCCCCTTTGAGTCGACTCAAAAGTCACCTCCACGCCCCCACCCCCTCCCCTCTCCCTGCAGACGACTTAAGGCACGACCATTTGAACCTCTCCCACCGCCTCGCCCTCCTCTTCCCTCTCCTCGACACCTCGCCGCCCGACGGCCGCGTCAGCCAATCAGAGCTCGCCACGTGGCTGCTGGAGCTGGAGCGGGCGGCGAGCCTGCACCGCACGCGGCGGGAGATGGAGGCGGTGGACGGCGATGCGGACGGCAGGATCACGCTGGCCGAGGCGCTTGAAGACGAACTTGCCGACCAGGCAGGTAGCTCGTTGACTCTGTTGACTCCGTCTGTTTTGCTCGTTGACCGTTTTTGCGTTTCAAACCTGCTCCCAACCTTTTAGTAAAACTCCTGGGCGCATGTATGATGGCGCGAGCAGTGTTACGTTACATGTACGCCACTCCCATTGGTTAGTCCTGCAGGTAATCAGGGTGGGTGGGTGGGTGGGTGGGAATCTGAGCGGCGTGGTTGCAGAGTCATCCAGGGCTGACTGATGGATGTGCCATTTCCCTGTCAATTCCCGGAAGTCGACAGAATGGTTCAGTCAACTCCATGCGCCCTTCTCTTCCTGATTCCTGTCTCCCTTTCCCATGCTCCTCCCATCACATCACATCGCCCACCCAGCCTTGCCCCAACTGTACTCTTGCACCAATCTTGCTCATTGACTTTTGAGTCGACTCAAAAGTCATTCCCATCTCACACCCTTGCCCGTTTGCAGCATTGAACCACACACCGTCCCTTGCGTCGCCTCACAATTCCCGCTGTTTTCCCATCTCCCATGTTTTCACTTCACCCCCTCGCCCGCCTCCCCCCGCCAGTGCACCATGGCGAGGGGGGGTGGCAGCACGTGGGGGGTGAGGAGCAGCGGAGGGAGCTGGAGGAGCGATTTCACCTGGCGGACGCTGATGGGGATGGGCAGTTGAACCTCAGTGAACTCAACAGGTGAGTCGCGAAATGATTCGAGTAAAAAAACGGGGGAATGCAGCATGTGCAGAGGGATAATTTGCGTGACAATGCCTGGCAGATGCTGATGGGAATGGGCAGTTGAAGTGAACTCAATAGGTGACTTGCTGTGGTGATGATGGGGAGGAGTTGGATGAATGGACTGAAGCAATATTCGTTTCATACAGACGGGTTACCTGCTTGAAACTCTGTTTCCCCCTCCCTCTCGCCGCGCACTCTACCCTCGCTTCCCTCTATCCTACGTCGGTTCTCCCCTTCTCCTTTTCTTTGACCTTCTCTCTCCGTTCCAGCTACTTGCATCCAGAGGACAGTGATGATCCAAGCCTGCGTAACCTGACACTGCTACAGGAGTTCAGGTGAGATTTCAGGTAGATTTTTATATGTGATGCCTGTAAGAACGCATGCTCGAGGTTCAGTTCAGTTGAGCCGAGCTTGTTGCATGCGCGACAAGCGGACGGGTTGACTGAAGGGTGTTTTTGAGAATTCTCAAAAACACCCTTCAGCATGACGGGTTGACTGCACAGACACAAACAGATTGAAGTCTATGGCATGCGCTTTTGCCATCCTGCTCCTGACATTACCCTCCCCATAAAGCCTTCTTACCGTTCTCCCTCCTTCCCATCATCCTCCTCACACACGCACCCTCTCAACCTCTCCTCCCCTCCTCCCCGTCTACCCCACCTTGTCCCTGCTGGATCGCGACAGCAACAACGGCAGCCGCATATCATTCTCAGAGGACAAGAAAAGGCCCATGGCATGGCACACAGTGTTCCGCGAGCTCATGACTCATGAGAAAGAATCCATCCCCACCGTCGTCCCCACCTGCCATGCCCCCCCCGCCTTATACTCCACCCAACACATCACCTCAACAGGGATCGCGACGCTGACAACGACAGCCGCATATCGTTCGCAGAAACAAACAGTCTTCCACGAGCTCATGGCGCATGAGGATGTTTGCTGAGAATGATTTTTGAGTCGACTCAAAAGTCACCACGAGCTCGTGGCTCATGAAGATTTTTTTTTAGAATGACTTTTGAGTCGACTCAAAAGTCACCACGAGCTCGTGGCTCATGAAGTTTTTTTTCTGAGAATTACTTTTGAGTCGACTCAAAAGTCACCACGAGCTCGTGGCTCATGAGGATGAACTTCCCTCCTGCTGTTCTCAGCTACCATGCCCCCTCCCACCACCAACATTCCGTGGCCCCCCCTCTCACCCCACCACCCCTGCAGGGATCGCGACTGCGACAACAACAGCCACATATCGAGCTGACTTTTGAGTCGACTCAAAAGTCACCCCACCACCCCTGCAGGGATCGCGACTGCGACAACGACAGCCGCATATCGTTGGCAGAGAGTTGAAGCAAACGGTGTCCCACGAGCTCATGGCGCATGAGGGCTTGTTCCACTTCACCCAATGTTTCATTGCCTAACCGTTCCCTCACTACCTTCCTCAACAGTGACTGCGACAGCGACAATGGCAGCGGCATATCGTTTGACGAGTTTAAACAGACCGTGTTTCACGAGCTCATGGCACATGAGGATGAATGTCTCCCTGCTGTTCTCACAAGCTACCATGCTCCCACCACCACCAACATCCCTTGTCCCCCCACCCATCACCTCAACAGGGATCGTGACAGTGACAACGACAGCCGCATATCGTTCGATGAGTTTAAACAGACAGTCTTTCACGAGCTCATGGCTCATGAGGACGACAGCCACGACCCTGTGGAGGCGCTTGTCCACTTGCACGCCGCCCAGGAGGATAAGGACAAATGGAGCAACGACCATCGCCGCCCGCACCGCACGGGCGGCGAGTTCCGAGAGGCTTTGGAGGAGAAGGAGAGGCGGGCGAGAGGGAGGTTTGAGGAGCTCGATAAGGACGGGGATGGGTGAGTGAGATGATGTTTTAGGCGCCTCTAATTCGTTCTTCGGGCGTCTCAAGGAGGAGAGTCGGGCGAGAGGGAGGTTTGAGGAGCTCGATAAGGACGGGGATGGGTGAGTGAGATGATGTTTTAGGCGCCTCTAATTCGTTCTTCGGGCGTCTCAAGGAGGAGAGTCGGGCGAGAGGGAGGTTTGAGGAGCTCGATAAGGACGGGGATGGGTGAGTGAGATGATGTATTAGGCGCCTCTAATTCGTTCTTTAGGCGTCTCAAGGAGGAGAGTCGGGCGAGAGGGAGGTTTGAGGCGCTTGATACGGATGGAGATGGGTGAGTGAATGTGCTGTTGCTTTTATCAAGTGCAATGCTGACTATGTGTTATGGGGACGGCTGAGTGAGTGAGATGTTCGTTTCTTCTTCTCGTGTTCTGTCTTCTGTTCCGGGGCCCCAACTTTGGTTAGCATTGGTTTCCGCTTCTGATGTGTCCTTCTTGGCAGCTTCCTCTCCCATGGGGAGTTATGCCTGTGCGGGGAGTGCTGAGATTTCCTTTGTGCGTGTGCTTCCCTTCTGGCAGCTTCCTGTCCCCTAGCGAGTTTGAGCCGGTGCTGCGGGTGCTGTGGCCAAGCGAGAAGGACTTTGCTGGAAAGAAGGCGACAGATATGATTCGACAGGTGAGACGGAGGTGATGCTGGTGGCCTGGTTACAGGGATGCTGGAAATGGGAAAGGAGTTTGTGATGGGGAGACTCATTCTCACCAAATCCTTAACTCAGTCTTCTCCTGCGCTCTCTCTCTTTATTTTCTTTTTGACTCGATGCAGGCGGACAACAATGGTGATGGGTACTTGCAATTAGACGAGATGCGAGCACACTCACATGTATTTTACAACAGTGTTCATGCACATGAGCAGCAAAGAGAACATGTGGAGCATGAGGAGCTGTAGCTGCAAAACATTCTGAGGATCGCTTGTGGATTGCTGGGTTTGCTCACGATCGCTGCATGTTTTGGTAGGCTTAAGCAATCATACCATTTGGAACATGAGACTTGATTTTCTTTAGTAAATTAGTGCAGAACACTTGACGCTACCCTCCCAGTAGTGTCACGCACGCATCCACCACGCAAGCAGCGATGTGACGTGACGTTTTAGGGCGCATGTGATTTTTTGAAAAATTGTCCTAGTTCGAACTCAAACCGCTTTGCACCGTGGCGAAAAATCTCTCAAATGTATCCTACCGTGTAGAACCTTTCTAAAAGTTCGAACTTTGGGAAGTTCGAAAAGATATCACACGTGCACTGCGGTTCTAAAAGGAGGTCCGGAAGATATGCTTGGACTAGCTTGCTGCACCCAAAGTCTGTGAGGTCATTTCGAATCGCGAACCGTTATCGCTATGATGTGGATCGATTGGTTCATCCTCTTGCTAGAGGAGGCACGAAAGCCAAGGGCTGGGGAAATCCCTCGAGCCGCGGGTTATTTCTTGCCGCAAGCGTGGGGCTGAATGTCCAATCATGCATCGCAATTCCCCAACCTGTCCTGCTGCTTGGTGGCGTGCCTTTCGCAATCGGCACAAACGAATTTGGTAACTCAGCCCCTTTGCTGATAAAGCAAGGTTCGCCATATATCGCCCATTCAATATTTTTTTCGCTTTAGCTTTCTTGATCATGTGTTCCTTTCCCTCGTCATTTTCGTGCCATGCGACAAATATACGGAATGGCTGCTCAAATATGGCGCAAAGCTTGTCGGTGACTGCATACCTCAGTCGTGACCAGACGCTTTCGGACGTTGCTCTTTACCCGTTCGGGAACGTGCACTCAGCGATGCTGGTTGCGAGCAAAACGTGCCACGCAAGTATCGTGAGAAAGCATGTTTCGGGTGCTTCTACGCGTAACATCCCAGGCGCCGTCGGCCGACTTGAAGTCAGACACCGAGCCTCGGAAAAGTAGGTAGCCGACAGTAATGTCAGGCTCGAAACGTCAGGAAGCGAGAAGTAACGAGTTTCTTGACCTCACTCAAGAAAGAGCCATTTCTGATTCTTCACTGTGATAGCGGACTGTAATCCTCTTCTCTCTTAGGTTTGTCATCGTGTCAGATTATCTCCTAGTAGTAGCTTGCCGAGTCGCGTTCGTACAGGTTAGCTTGCCTTCCAGTCGTAGTACGAGGCCTGAATATAATTACGAGGCGCATGGACTGAGTTAGCGGTGTTCTTTCTATGGTTTCGAGATAGCGAAAAAACTGGACCACGAACCTGCCTCGATTTTCGACACGAACCAGAGCGCGAAACACATTTGCACTATGGGCTTAATACGGTAGCCAAAACGATACTTGATACGCTATCGGAGCGCCTCGTCCAGGACGCTGGGTCTGAGACAGTGGCGGCTCGAGTAGTCAACTGTCGAATCGCTTGCGACGAGGAGGCCGCGGAAGAGCAGAGCCATCATCATCGCACGGATGGGAATGGAGGTCCTTTGATTCGACGCGCGAGTCGCCTCGGGCTAGAGCCACTGGACGGCGTCTGCCACGCGATCATGAACGGCTATGAGGTCGTGGAAGAGCTGAGCCGTGGCGGTGCGCATGGGAGGTCGTACCTAGTCCACGAAAAGAGCGCTGCGGGTAGCATCTTAGCTTGTAGCAATAGCTCGTTCAGGAAAACTGGAGCCGCGAACATCGCCAGCCATGGCGCAGCGTTGAATGCGGAGGGACCACGCGAGTCTGGCGGGGGAGTAGCTCTGTGTGGGGCGTGGGCGATGCGAGTGGTTCCGCTGCCGGAAGACGCGGCGCACCGTGTGGCGTGTGTGAAGGAGGCGGAGAGGATGATGCAGCTGCACCATCCGTGCCTGGCTGAATGCAAGGTGAGACGGCGCGGCGCGGGTGAGATGGCTCAACTAGTCTCTAGGCTCCTCATAACGTTTGCGGTGTGTGTGTGAGGAAGATGTGGAGGAGGGGGTGTGGGAGAGGGTGTGGGGGAGGGTGTGGGGGAGGGTGTGGGGGAGGGTGTGGGGGAGGGTGTGGGGGAGGGTTGGGGGAGGGTGTGGGGGAGGGTGTGGGGGAGGGTGTGGAGGAGGGGGTGTGGGAGAGGGTGTGGGGGAGGGTGTGGGGGAGGGTGTGGGGGAGGGTGTGGGGGAGGGTGTGGGGGAGGGTGTGGGGGACGACGTCGCCCATGCATTGCTATCCAACGACGCGTTTCTAGTCGTGTCTAATCCTGTCTTCCCCGTGTCGAATGATGCGCTGTGCAGGCGGTATCCGTCCACGAGGCCTCGCACGGGCTCTGTACTGGTGAGCTACAGGATGTGCATGCATACTATGTTACAGGATGTGCATGCATACTATGTTACAGGATGTGCATGCATACTATGTTACTAGCGCATGATGGGTGTGTTTCGGACCACCTCTATCGCACATCCCGCGCTGCGCGCTGAGCCTTTATTGCTGCACAGATGTGCGTGTTACGAGCAGTGTTTGATACAGTGACGGAGAGCTAACCTCGAGCTTATCCGTTCGTGCATTGCTTCGTTTGATACAGCGACGGCGCACTGTGGAGCGGACACTTTGTCGGGGCTAATAAGAAAATACCAAGACAACGAGTCGTTGTGAGTGAAAGGGGGATTCTGCTGGCCTCACATCAATGCTGCTGCCGTCATCCTCTCTCCCCTTCCCATAACTCTCTCACAGCCCAAGCACCAGCCCAAGCACCTGCGCAAGCACTGAGTGTAAGAATCTCTTCTCAAACGGCTATCTTGGTTCTTCTCCTTGAACATGCCCATCCCAGCATACCTGAGCAGACTATTGTTGACTGGCTGCTACAAGTGGCCTTGGCGCTAGAGCACATGCACCACCACAACTTGTTACACCGAGATCTCACAGTGCGTATTATTGAGAAAAGGTATACCGCAGCGTGCTGAAGCGCGTACAAAGAGCACGCTTACTGCTGCTCATAGTCTTGGGCGCTAGAGCACACGCACCACCACAACATGCTGTACCGAGGTGTCACGGGTGCGTTTTCACGAGTAGAAGTATACTGCAGAAGGCTACAGCGCGTACAGCGAGCACAAGTGCCGCTCTTATTCTTGGCGCTAGAGCACATGCATCACTGCATGGAAAACACATGAGAGCACGTGAGAACACATGAGAGCACGTGAGAACACATGAGAGCATGAAGCTCATTTCCGGTCAGCATCACCTTCTGTCCCTTCCCCACCCGTCCACACCTCCCCCCCTGGTGGCAGCAGGCAGAGAACCTTCTTCTCTGCATCCCGAGCAATAGCAACCCCGCGCGTGTGCGGCTGCGAATGTGCATGGCCGCTGAGATGACACGCCAGGAACCGTACGACTGCAAGTCAGGTGAGATGACACGCAAGACGTAACGATGGTTGAAATGGCTTGAGGGGAGACTGGCACATGATGGTACATGGCATGGGGTGTAGGCTGTTGCTGGCACATGGTCGTACATCGCCTAGCGTGCAGGCTGCTACTGGCACACAGGGACTTATGCTGTCTGGTAGCCAGAGCCGAGTTCCCTCTCTGATTTTCGCTGTGTGTGTGAGTCGACTCAAAAATCGACTTATCGCCTGGTAGTCAGAGCCGAGTTCCCTCTCTGATTTGCGCCTCCGCTTCACGTTTCCCCACGTGTACACGGCGCGCTGCCCACCCACACGGGCCCACGCCAATCACTGCGCCCGTTTCCCCGCCACTCCTTCCTTCCATCCCCAACACTCTCGCCCCGCACAGACATCTGGGCGCTGGGCAGCCTTGTCCATGCAGCCATGGCCGGCAACCATCCACCACCTCCGCCCGCGCCCCCTGAGGCGCCGCAAGCGCCATTGCCCCCGCCCGCGCCCCCTGAGGCGCCGCAAGAGCCATTGCCCCCGCCCGCATCGGTCCATGAGTTGGTTTCCTTCGTGCTGGCGGGCTGCTGCCATGACGCCCTGCCGCGCCATGAACCCATGCCCCAACGGTATGCGCCGTTCTATGCAGTGCTGTGCTTTGCGGTGCGGTGCTGTGCAGTGCGGTACTGTGCTTTGCTGTGCGGTGCGGTACTGTGCTGTGCAGTACTGTGCTGTGCGGTGCGGTACTGTGCTGTGCTGTGCTGTGCTGTGCTGTGCTGTGCTGTGCTGTGCTGTGCTGTGCTCATCTGGCGTTTGTTCGCCATGACCCTGACTTTTCACCCTGGTTGGAGTCATCTCAGCGAAAGCATGGTGCTCGTCTGACGTCTTTTCACCAGGTCAGGTCGACTGAACACTCTCTGAAAGGTGGTCATCGTCATTAAAGGTGGTCGGGGATCACTGAACCTCTCTCTCTAAAGATCCCCGACCACCTTTAAATGGTGATTGAGTGCTGAGGTCGCTTCAAATGCTAACACTATACCTCCCTTTTCCAACCCCACCCTCTCTTCCACCTCCTCCTCTCCATTTTGACAGCAGCGTGTGCTTCCTCTCCTCTTTCCACCCATCACTTGCCCAGGGATCAAAGTTCATCGTGGAGTAGCTGCAAACCTGTGAAAAACTCGTAAGCAAAAGGATCAAGACTGTGAAACTGATTCCCAGAAAATTCAAGAAAATCTCACAACCACCAAACTCAGAAAAACCCTTATTCGCAAACCGGTTTCGGCCTTCGGGACAGAACCCCTTAGGCCTTCATCAGTGCTGCTTACAGGTTCACAGCAGCGTGCGCTTCCTCTCCTCTTTCCACCCATCATTTGCCCATCCCACTTCCCCTCTGTCCCACTCTCCCACCCGCTCTTCCCTGCTCGCCCTGCTCTCCCCTCTTTTGTCCTCTACCGGCTGGCAGTTACTCTCCTGAACTCCGTGCGCTTGTCAAACGCATGCTTTCTCAGGTGAATCCAACGTTCTCAGGTGAATCCAGCAATCCCAGGTGAATCCAGCAATCCCAGGTAAATTCAACATTCTCAGGTAAGTTCAAGCTTGTCGGAGGTGCCCTCTAATGATCTCTTGTCAAGAATGCGTGTTGCTTGTGTGGATTCCTGGGTGCAACTTCGCTTGCAGCTTCGCTTTCAGGTTCACTTGCGGGTTCGCTTGCAGCTTCGCTTGCATGTGTGGGTGCACATCCATGTGCGTGTATGTGGGCATGTACAGGTGGATGTGTGTGCACCTTCATGCGCATGTCTGCATGCCTAAAGCTCCTATGGCTGGTCACACACGATTACAGAGCGCACAGCACAGTGACTCTGACCAAACCCATCGCATCCCTTACACAACCCCTTTCCTCACTCTCATACCTTCCCCATTCCTTGCCCCATGCCTCACTCTCTTTCCGTGCCGTCGTTTCTTCCAATCCAATCCCATACTTTCTCCTCTCACCCCCTCTCTCCCTCAATACTTTCTCCTCTCACCCCCTCTCTCCCTCAATACTTTCTCCTCTCACCCCCTCTCTCCCTCAATACTTTCTCCTCTCACCCCCTCTCTCCCTCAATACTTTCTCCTCTCACCCCCTCTCTCCCTCTGAGCGTCCCACACATTCTCCTAATCCCTTCTCCTTCATCATCACGTTTTTTGAGGTTGATTTTGAGAATTCTCAAAATCAACCTAAAAAAAAATGCACATGCTCCTAATCTCTTCTCCTTCATCATCATCATCATGCCGCTTCCTCGCCGCATTCTTTCCGGCACCTCAAAACTGAGACGATTTTTTAGGCGCCTCAAAAAGCATGCCTCTTCCTCGTCGCATTCTCTCCCCACTCTTCTCCTTCATCCTCTCTCTCTCTCTCTCCCCAACGCATATCCCTTTTATCCCCATGCAGACCCCCTCTGATCGACCCACAGCAGCCAACATCCTCGCCTCGCCTCTCCTCCACCAACGTGCCTCTGCCTTTCTGCACGCCTGCCTGCACGCCTTTGAACATAACCTTGAAAGAGCCGATGTTAACGACCTTGGGGTTGCCGCTTCTAAAAGCATCGTTCTTGGGAATGCCGCCCTCAGGAATGCCGCCCTTGGGAATGCCGCCCCCGGGAATACCGCCAGTGTTGGTGCTGGTGCTGTGGCAAGGGCAGTGGCGACGCAGCGGGCAATACATGAGCAGATGGGGCGACTGGGAATGGTGGTAACCCCATGTGGAAGCATCAACGCACGGCTGACGTGCAGCGCCAGCAGCAGCAGCAGCAGCAGCAGCAGCAGCAGCAGCAGCAGCAGCAGCAGCAGCAACAGCAGCAGAACCAGCTGCATTGGGGGCAGCAGTGGCGGTGTTTCTGCAGCCAGTCTGCAAGCAGGTGAGCGGGCAGGGGGGATGGATGCTACAGGGAATACTGGTTATGAGGGAGGCGGGTCCGCCACTCGAGCATGTGACGTGCCGTTGTTTGGTATAGCTTGTGGGGAGGAGGAAGAGGAAGGGGGTGGGGCGGAGGAGGGAGAATGGGGTGGGGAGGAGTGTGTTACGGTTGAGGAGGAAGGGGCAGGAAGTTTTAAGGTAGAGGAGGAGGATGTGATTCAGGAGGCTCAAGGGATAGAGAATGTGGATGGGGAGGAGGTGGCGGAGGAGGAAAGGGAGGAGGAGGAGGAAAGGGAGGAGGAAAGGGAGGAGGAGGAGGAAAGGGAGGAGGAGGAAAGGGAGGAGGAGGAGGAAAGGGAGGAGGAGGAGGAAAGGGAGGAGGAGAAGGAAAGGGAGGAGGAGGAGGAAAGGAGGAGGAGGAGGAACGCGAGTGGGAGGACGAGCAAGAGAAAGAGGAAAAGGATGAGAACGAGTGGGGTTGGTGGGGGTTGGGAAAAGAGGACGAGCAAGAGGGAGAGGAAAAGGATGAGGCGGAGTGGAAGCGAATGGAGGAGGAGGACGAGGCTCGGCGCGAGTGGGAGCGAGAACAGGAGCTGAGGGAAGAGTTTGTGCGGGAGAAAGAGGCGGAGGAGAATGGGTGGGGGGAGGATGGAGGGAAAGAGGAGCGTGAGAGAGATGGTGGGCGGGAAGAGGGAGAGAATGGGTGGGACGAGGGAGGCAATAAGGGGGGAGGGAAAAACGAGCGAGAAGCGCATGAGACAATTGGTGGGAGGGAGGAGGGAGAGTTTGGGTGGAGTGAAGGAGAGCAGGAGGAGGTGGAACGAGATGAGGGATGGGAGGAGGGGGAGGTTAAGTGGGGTGAGCGAGAGGATGGGTGGGAAGGGGAAGATGAGCGAGAAGCGCATGAAACAGGTGGTGTGTGGGAGGCGGAAGAAGATGGGTGGAGAGGAGGAGAGAATGAGGGTCTTGAACGACATGAGGTTTTGGAGGAGGGAGAGTTGAGTTTTGAGTCGACTCAAAAGGAGGAAGAGGATGGATGGGGCGAAGGAGAGAAAGAGGATCTGCGAAGACATGAGGAATTGGAGGAGGGAGAGGTAAGATGGAGCGAGGGAGAGGATGGGTGGGAATGGGGAGGAAAGCGGGAGGTGTGTGAAACAAGTAATATATGGGAAGAGGGAAGGAATGGGTGGGAAGAGGAGGGATATCAGCCAAGGGAGCAGCCTCAGCAAAAGCGGCGGTGGCAGCAGCAGCAACAGGGAGAGAGCGAGCAGAAGCAACAGCACGAAGCAGTAAGAGGGCTGCTGACAAAGAGGCAGCAGCAGCAGCAGAAACAGAAGCAGCAGCAGCAGAAGCAGCATGGTCAGTTGAGTGGGCACAAGGCAACACGGTGCAGCACCAGCAGCACTTGCACCAGCAGCTTTAGTAGCTGTAGCACTGACACATTACGATGCACCACTTTGAGTAGCTGTAGCAGCCGTAGTGGCTGTAGCAGCTGTAGCAGCTGCAGCAGGAGTGACGACAAGGGCACCTGCACTGGCTACAGCAGTAAGCACTCCACAGGCTGTAGCAGCGGCAGCAACAGCAGCAGGTTACGATACAGCCTGGACAACAGCTGCTGTTACACGTCAGAGCATGACAGCGACACGTCAGAGCATGACAGCGACACGTCAGCGCATGACAGCGACACGTCAGAGCATGGCTCGGGCACATCATCACCATCATCACCACCACCACTGAGAGTGTTGTCTTCCATCTCTTGTGCACCGGATGCTGCCGCCCCATTGAAATGCGCCATTGAAATGCATCTGCACAAGGTCAAGGCACGGCTGGCACGGTTTGGCGTGGCTCTCAGCGACCAGCCGACACCGGCTGCTGCTTGCATGCAGGAGAACCTGGAGAGGATTCAAGAGCTTCTGCATGTGGGGGGGGCGAAGGAGCTGCTGCAGGTTGGGGGGGCGAAGGGGGCCCCGCAGCGGACTTTTGAGTCGACTCAAAAGGCACGAATGGAACGGTTTGGCGTGCCTCTCGACGACCCGCCAGCACCTGCTGCTGCTTGCATGCAGGTGAACCTGGCGAGGATTCAAGAGCTGCTGCAGGTGGGGGGGGCGAAGGAGGTGCTGCAGGTGGGGGGGGAAAAGGAGTTGAATACGGTGAGGAGGCAGGAGGTGGGGAAGGAGGGCGAGATGCCACAGCTGCGGGATGGGCACTCCGAGACAAGTCGTGCCACAGCTGGTGAGGAAGCAGCAGGTGACGTCATGTCTGAGAGGGTTCAGAAGCTTCTGCAGAAGCTGCGGAGACTGAAGGAGAAGGCTGGCATGCCAACGAAGCAGGTGACAGAGGCGATGCAGTCAACGCAGTCTATGCAGTCAACGCGGCCAACACAGTCAAGGAAGTCAGCGCAGTCAACGCAGTCAGCGCAGTCAGCACAGTCAACGAAGTCAATGCAAGAGGCACCGGAGGCATTGCAAGCCCTGCTCCGGTTGCATTGGCTGAAAGACGGAGAAAAAGCGCGCGGGAAGACTGGCGGGAGTTCCCCAGCGCGCACCGGCTGGGGGGAATTCACCGGCTGGGGGGAATTCACCGGCTCACACAAGGCTGCTAGCCATGCAGCTTGTTCACCAGCCAAGGGGACAAGGGACGCTCGTCCTGTGCTTGGGCAAGTGCGGGCAAGGCATGGTTTTGAGTCGACTGAAAAGCATGGCGGGAGGTCCCCGGCGCGCACCGGTTCACATAAGGCTGGTAGCCATGCGGTCAAGGGGCCAAGGGGTGCTCGCCCTGTGCTTGGGCATGTGCAGGCAAGGCATAGGGATGGCTGTGGGGACTGCTGTGGAGACGGCGGTGCGGACGGCGGTGGGGAGAGCGGTGGGGAGAGCGGTGGGGATGGGTGCGGAAAGGGGTGTGAAGGTGATGGTTCGGCCCAGACGTGGGGCTGGAGTGATGGCTTGGATCGCATGGGGAGTTGGATTGGAGGGGCTGGGAACGACGTGGGGCACACTGAAGGGGAGGAAGGGTCAGAAAGCGGCACAAAAGGAGAGGAGAGGAGCGGGACATATACAGAAGGAGAGGGGTATGGAGACGAAGAGGGGTATGGAGACGAAGAGGGGTATGGAGACGGAGAGGGGTATGGAGACGGAGAGGGGTATGGAGACGGAGAGGGGTATGGAGACGAAGAGGGGTATGGAGACGGAGAGGGGTATGGAGACGGAGAGGGGTATGGAGACGGAGAGGGCCGTGAAAAAAGGGATAACGGAGGAGGGAGAGAGAGATTTGGAGAAAGTGATGCAATTGGGAAAGGAGAGGAGCTTTCAGGAGAGGAGCTTTCAGGAGGAGAGGGATGTGTGGAGGGCGATGGGTGTTCAGACGGGGAGACACATTGGGTAGGAGTTTGGCTCAGGACCGAAACAGGCTGGGTTGACGGAAGAGGGTGGACAGAGGAGGAGGAGGAGGAGGAGGAGGAGGAGGAGGAGGAGGAGGAGGAGGAGGAGGAGGAGGAGGAGGAGGAGGAGTACGCAGAAGACGAGGGGCTTAGTGACGGAGATGGGTTTAGGAAAGGCGATGGGCTGTTGCAAGGAGAGGGGAATATTGAGGACGAGAATTACTCTGAAAGTGAGGGTTATCTAGATGGAATGGTATTTGTAGAGGACGAGAATTACTCTGAAAGTGAGGGTTATCTAGATGGAATGGTATTTGTAGAGGACGAGAATTACTCTGAAAGTGAGGGTTATTTTGATGGAGAGGTATTTGTAGAGGACGAGAGGCATTCAGAAAGCGAGGGTTATTTGGAAGTAGAGGGGTACTCAGATGAAGAGTGGCTCAGAAGCGAAAGCGGTTGTGGAAGGTTTTCGAAAAGAGAGGAAAGTGCGGAAAGCGAGTGGCTTGGGACAGAAGGCTGGCATGGTGAAAGCGAATCTGGGCGGACTGAAGAGGCGTGGGCAGAAGGAGATGCAAGGGCAGAAGGCGAGGATTGGAGGGAAAGAGAGGCGTGGAGAGGTCGCGGGGAGGGTGTGTCGGAGCAGTTTAGGGCGAAGGAGCAGTTTAGGGCGAAGGAGCAGTTTAGGGCGAAGGAGCAGTTTAGGGCGAAGGAGCAGTTTAGGGAGAAGGAGCAGTTTAGGGCAAAGGAGCAGTTTAGGGCGGGTGGAGAAGCACAGCGGCTCATAGAGGATGAAGCAGCGTGTGAAAGGGAGCGGTGGGGAGGTGGGAGAGGCGAGGCGCATGAGGAAATCGGAGCGGCGTTGGGCGGTATGCTGGAGCGGACGGGCGTCCTCCTGAGGAGCGCCTGTGAGCCCACGCCCACCCATCGTTGCATGCACCCCCAGAGAGGCTGTGAGAGTTGTGAGAGTTGTGAGAAGTACCGTGGTGCTTGTGAGCAGGGCCATTGCGCCATATGGACATACACTCACGGCATGCGCCACTCACAACCCTGGCACACTGCAGCTGAAGCTGCCACAGCGGTACGAGCAGCAGGTGGAGCAGGGGTGGCAGGGGTGGCAGGGGCGGCAGGGGCGGCAGGGGTGGCAGGGGTGGCAGGGGTGGCAGGAGCTACGTGCATCAAGACAGGCCTTCCAGCTAACCCTTCAGTTCACCGGATCACTCTGCCTGAAGACTGTTTGCTCCACAGGACAAGCTGCAGGGGCGCTGACGTGGCCTGTTCACATGGTGCTAACGTGGCAAGGTCACATGGTGCTGACGTGGCCTGTTCACATGGTGTTGAAGCTGTCAGTCCATGTGGACACGTGGCATATGCCATGGCTTTTTGTAAAAGGGACAGCTGGCAATGCATCTGCTATGGGAGCAACACTAGTCATGCCCGCAAAAACGGATGCATCACCAGCAGATGCTATGTCAGGAGAGGATGCCACGTCAGCAACAGCTGCCACGTCAGCAGAAGATGCCTGTTTCAAGCAAATGGCAGGGTGGATCATGGTAGACCAACCTGTCGCACACACCGTGACTGTAACAGCTCGTGTGACTGCGGAGGGGGCTGCAGCTGTGGTGGCAGCCGTACACCCCTCAAGTGTGACTGTAACGAATGCTACACCTGTGACAATAACGCGTACAGGATTGGCTGCTGCCGGCCACAGCACCACTGTGAGAGTACCCATCCCTCCGGCCGCGGGCGTGGGTGCCACTCTGCATCCTGTGCTGACAACACGTGCAGATCTGGTGGCTTGCACGAGGGTGTCAAGGCTTCATCTCCCTTGTGCAATCCACCAGATGCGGCCAGCCCTTTGCTGCTTCCCTCTTATGCTTCTGCCTCTGCTGGCGGGGAAGTGGCTTGGCAGCATCAGCAGCATCAGCGGGAGCAGGAGCAGCAGCAGCAGCAGCAGCTGGGAACGGTGGCGGAAGGAGCAGCAACAGTGGGAGCAGCAGCACGAGCAGCAGTGCGGGCAGAGACAGGAGCAGAAGCAGCAGCAGCAGTGGGGGCAGCAGCAGGAGCAGGAAAGGAGTCATCTGCCACTGGTGCACTGTACAGAGGAGGAGGATGTGGTAAGGGCTCATACTCACACATGCATGCATGAACGAGCAGGAGTTGAACGGCCCATGAAAGAACGGGTGGGAGGTTACAGGTGTGTCACAAACCACCTGATTCCAATTCAGTTGACTGCGGAGCGTGGAGAGCGGGCATGGCACACAGATGCAGCAGACCAGCACACAAGGACGTGGCGTACAGAAGCACTACAGAAGGACTTCACGTCCTTCTGTGGTCCTGGGGGACAGGCTCGTTATACAGAAGCACTACAGAAGGACGTGGACTCCACGTACTTCTGTAGTCCTGGGGGGCAGGGACATGCTCGTTATATAGAAACACTGCAGCAGCCACTGTTGGGTGGGACAGAATATCATAGTGAAACCGGGGAGCTCAATAGTGAGGATGAGGAGTCGGACTACGAGGTGGTGCGCCAGGTGGCGATGTACGAGTGGCTGCGCGCGTCTTCAAAGCAAGCAGCAGCCCTCGAAGCAGCACGCGTCCCGACTCCTCTTACCAACCCCTTCCCCCGCCAGCAGCACGGCAGCAGCAACAGCAGCAGCAGCAACAGCAGCAGCTGCGTGTCTGACAGCCAGGCTGGCACGGGGATGAAAGAAGACAGCTGTCACGCTGGTGTGGGGGCTAGAGGAGGCGACGATGCTGGTGTGTGGCTGAGGTGTGGCAGTAGGACCTTCCCTATAAGCCAGGCTGAAGTGACCGCTGCTCGTGGCAGCAGCAGCAACAGCAGCAGCAGCTGCGTGTCTGACAGCCAGGCTGGCACGGGGATGAAACCAGGCAGCTGTCATGCTGGTGTGGGGGCTAGAGGTGGTGAACAATCTGGTGTGTGGCTGCGAGGCGGCAGCAGCAGCAGCATTACCTTTCCAATGAGCCAGTACGCAGTGAAAGCTGCTCGTGGTGGCATGAGCAGGGGATTCAGGGGTCGTAGACCGAGTTCGGAGCCGGGTCGAAGCAGGGGATTCAGGAAGCACAAGCCACTGCCTGGTTCCACCAGATTCATGCGCGAAGCTGAAGCTAATCGGCAAAGCATGGCTGCTGTGGTTGCACTGGCAACACCGGTTGTTGCACCGGCAGCACCACCCGCACCAGTTGTAGCATCAGCAGCCGCAGGAGCAGGGGTAAGAGCTGTAGCAGAAATTGTGCTGGAAGGGACAAAGGCAACTGCAACGGACGCGATAACAGCCCGTCTCGTCACTCCATTGCAGGAGAGGAATGCGATGACTACAGAATCATCCTCGTTACAGTGTCCTCCAGTAAGAGATTCAGCTGGGGAGGTGGCTGGGTCAGGAGGCTGCTCGGTGCATGAATGGTATGAAGCAGTGAAGAGTGGTGGCGAGAGTGAGGAGGCATCGAGAATGGATCTGCCGTACTGCCTTGACTCAAGGAGGAGAAGCCTGCTCTCCTCCCTGATAAACTCGCTATTTGTTAGCCAGCATACACACGCTCGAATGCAACGTCGCTTGCATCGGAAGAGAATACAAGAACTTCGTTAGCATTAGTGGTTGATACATGATTTGAAATCAAATGTGATGTTCGATTGGAGACAGGTTTTGAAATTAGGTTCCTAGTGATATAATTTATCATGGTTTATATAATGACTTGAATCGTACATGGCAGAAGGTGTGCTGTGCTGGCAAATATTTTCACCCTTCGTTTTCTGAGAGAGGATTAATCACATGTCATCAACACACCTTTCATAAGCTCCTCACATGTTATTGAAGAGGCCAGTGTATGGAGTTTCCAGTTGGCACCTATAGCCAGGTGGCAGCACGGCAAGCTTCGAACATTTGGGTCGATCCCTAGGGCAAACCCGCCCAAAAACCCAGCCCGACATTTCGCCAGCACCACTCCCCCCATCAGCCAGCCTTGGGCACATCGACCTGGTTACCATGTTCGCCAATAATCGCTTGATATCTTGATCCTATCCGTTGCATGGCATCTCGTCTGCTCCTCCATCTCTCTCACCACAGCACATCACTTCCACACCCTCCCTTTCCTCCCCCCTTTCTGGTCAGAAGCCTGATCGAGCTGGCGATCAGAGGTAGTCTGGCCGCCATTGTCGCTACTTTTGCTAACTTCGCGGCATCTCTTGCGAGTGGAACCCTAATCCAGCAGAGCCTGGATCAAATATCTTTGTCCTCTCGCTCTTTCTAAATTGACAGTATAATATACGGGATTTTTTAACCTCTCCATCACCCTTGTCAGAGGACAATGGCGACAGCAGCTAGCACCGTCGCTGCTAGTTATGCGAGTGTCAAGTACGTCCTTAGTCTTAATATCTCGTGGTTTGGTACGTTCGATCTTCGTTCTGTCTCGCTCAACTATCTCGCTGTTAGGTAGAATCACAAACAATCTAAGACGTTTTTTTTCCTCTATTTCTCTTCATCGTACTATTCAACATAAGCGCCGACATTCTATTTACTGGCACTCGACATAGTCGATTTCCTCGCTTCATCGTCTGATAGCTTTGAGCTCACGCGTCCCTTCATCTCATTCTTTCCCCTTGCATTTCACCTCGCATTCCACTCCCGATCAGATCGCTTGTCGCAACACAATCCCCGGCGACCACATCCGACGCTCACTCCCAAACAGCAGCTCTCCACGCTCCTCCGCCGCACCTCACCGCCTCTCACTCCTCCAGACGCCGACCCATCCAGATCGTCGCTCTCAGCAGCAACAGCAGCCATAACCGGAGCCGATCAGTCTCCTCCGGAGATTCCGGATGGATCAGAAAAGCCGCTTTAACCAGTGCGGGCCTAGCAGCCGGCAGCGGCATTGGCTGCGTCTTAATGCGTCAAGATGGTCTTAGTATTCTGACCACTATTATAGGAGGAGGAGGAGGCGGGGGGGGAGGCGGTAGCGGCGGCGGGGGAGGCGGAGGAGGAGGTGGTGGAGGGGGGAAGGGGCGAGGCGGGGGGAAGCGGAACTGGTGGGAGTGGGACGCGGCTGTAGCAGCGGAGGATGATGAGGAATCGGAATCAGAGGAGGAGGAGAGCGACGAGGAGGAGGAGTCGGATGAGGAGGAGGAGGACGAGGAGGAGGAGGAGGAGGAGGAGGAGGGCGATGCGAAGGCGAAGGAGGCGGCGGGAAAGAAGGAGGCGGAGGAGAAGGCGAAGAAGGAGAAGGAGAAGAAAGCGGCGGCTGCGGCGGTTAAAGCGGAGGAGTTCGACCCTCACGGCATGCGGGTGAGACTGGGTTCAGCCCTCGAAAAACTGCGAGTGAAATTCAATTGAACCCTCGATGCATGCGCGTGAGAATCGACTGGGGACCGTGTAACCGTTATCAGCGTGGGAACTGTTGCGCGAGGCGACGGGCGATGACGCTCAAGAAATCTGCGAGCACGCTCAAACACTCTCGCTTGAGAACATACCGCAATGTCGGTCCCACTCTCCGCAATTCGTCTCAATCATAGCGCAATACCCTTCTTCACTCTGCATTCCCCACTCCCCGCACTCCACTCCCCGCGCTCCACGCCCCATGCTCCTCTCCCCATAGCGCACGGCCCCAAAGTCTCCAACCCTCACATTCCCCTCACCCCTGGCGGCACGTGCGTTTACCAGCGGACGTGCGGACCGTAAAGCCATTTATTGCCTCATGTTTTCGAGAGTCCCTTTCTCTCGCCCCTCTTCCGCCCCTTCAGCGCACCAGGCGGGCACGACGAAGCCCTTCTTTCGCCTCATTCTTGCTTCCTTCCGCCTCCACCCCCCTCCCCCTCCCCTCACCTCCCCCCAGGCGGGCACGCGCGTGGCGGTGGACAAGCTGAGCACGACGAAGCGGTACCGCGTGGCGGACGTTGACCTGGTTGACCAGCGCAGCGACCGCGTCATTCCCAAGGCGGACGGGTTCTACGAGATGGTGTCGGTGGGCAAGGGCACCGTGTGCACGCGCGCACAGCTCGAGGCGGAGGTGGCCAACATGGCGTCCAGCGGCATGTTCCAGATGGTCGAGGCTGATACCGTCGCCAATCCAGACGGGTCCATTAAGGTGCGTATAACGAGGCGGGGGATCGTATCGTACTGTAACGGGGATGAGCAAGGTGAGGGGGAGGAGAAGGGGAGATTTGAGACGTGGGGGCGGGGAGTGTGGGTAGGTGGGTCAACCATTGTGGGGGGAGTGAGCGCGTAGATGGGCGGACGGGCGGACGGGTTCTACGAGATGGTGTCGGTGGGCAAGGGCACCGTGTGCACGCGCGCGCAGCTCGAGGCGGAGGTGGCCAACATGGCGTCCAGCGGCATGTTCCAGATGGTCGAGGCCGATACTGTTGCCGACCCGGATGGATCGATTAAGGTACTTACTTCTAGCCAAGCGTGGGGGTTTGCCTATAACGGGGATGGCATGAGGTGGGGTAGAGGTGGAGAGGCCGAGGTGGCCAACATGGCGTCCAGCGGCATGTTCCAGATGGTCGAGGCTGACACTGTTGCCAAACCGGATGGGTCTATTAAGGTGCGTGTAGTGAAGCAGGGGTTATAACGGTTGAGTCTTGCTTAAAACGGGGATGAGGTGGGCTGGAGCGAGGTGGCGAGCATGGCGTGCAGCGGCATGTTCCAGATGGCAGAGCAGTCTCCCTGGCCACCATAACTGACCCCCCTGCCTGCCCTCCCTCGCCCCTTCCGCCACCTCACCCACCCCCCACCCCGTTCCCCCCATCCCCCACTCCCCGCTCCCCGCTCCCCGCTCCCCGCGCCTCCCTGCATTCCATGCGCACGCTACAGCTGGAGGTGAAGGTGCTGGAGGCGCAGTGGCAGGCAGCCAAGACGGTGCGCTGTGTGAACATGGGGCTCGTGCAGCCGGACGCCTCGGGGCAGGAGGCTTCAGAAGACGCGGCGAAGCAGGAGGCGGCGTACACGGAGCGGCTGAGGCATTCACAGCAGTGCCTCTGTAACTGACCCCTGCCTGCCTTCCCTCTGCCCTTCCCACCGCTCCTCTCACCCCGTTCTCCGCGTTCCCTGCTTCCCGCTCCCCATGTCCGCGCTACAGCTGGAGGTGAAGGTTCTTGAAGCGCAGTGGCAGGCAGCCAAGACGGTTCGCTGTGTGAACATGGGGCTCGTGCAGCCGGACGCCTCGGGGCAGGAGGCGTCGGAGGACGCGGCGAAGCAGGAGGCGGCGTACGCGGAGCGCCTGAGGCAGGCTCGGCAGTGCCTGCTGCCTCGCAAGGTGGAGAACGAGCTGAGCGCCATGGTGCAGCGCGAGGGCCGCCTCACTGCTCGCATGCTGCAGAAGATTAGGGACCGCATTCTCAAGTGGTACCACGACAAGGGCTACGCCTGTGCCAATGTGAGTGCTTCATGGGTGTGTGCTGGGGGGTGGATGACAAGGGGGGTGGATGACAAGGGGGGTGGATGACGCTTTCGTCAGGTGGTACCAGCGCCACTGCAAGGTGTACGCGTGTCCGAGGGAGCAGTGAGAGCTCAAGGGAGCAGTGAGAGCTCAAGGGAGCAGTGAGAGCTCAAGGGAGCAGTGAGAGCTCAAGGGAGCAGTGAGAGCTCAAGGGAGCAGTGAGAGCTCAAGGGAGGGCCCATGTGTTTATGTGTCGACTGGTGGGTGTGCTGCCCTGGCGGTGATGAGGCTCATGTTGGGTGCTCCTGTGTCCTGCCGTGCTGTGTCCTGTGTCCTCAGGCTCCTGTGTCCTGCCGTGCTGTGTCCTGTGTCCTCAGGCTCCTGTGTCCTGCCGTGCTGTGTCCTGTGTCCTCAGGCTCCTGTGTCCTGCCGTGCTGTGTCCTGTGTCCTCAGGCTCCTGTGTCCTGCTGTGCTGCACTGCCCGAGGGGCGGACCTGCAGCATCAAAGGCATTTACCGCACCAACCACGCAACCCCATCCTCCTTCTGGTGAATCTTATCGCCACTCTCAACACGCCTAGCATCGTGTCCAAGGTGGTGGGAGGGGGACGTGACGGGCGTGGAGGCGCCAACTCACCCTCCCGCTTCCTTCCCCTCCTTCCCCTCGTCCCTTTGCCCCACGCCTTTCCTTTCTGCCCGCCCCTCTAATTCAGGTGATCAATTTCGGGAACCTCAACACGCCTGACATTGTGTGCGAGGTGGTGGAGGGTGATGTGACGGGCGTGGAGGTGCAGTGTTGACCTCTTCCTCCCCCCTGGTCTTGTGACATATTCTCAGCGAGCTGCAAACTTAAAGACCATGTGACGGGCGTGGAGGTGCAGTGTTGACCTCTTCCTCCCCCCCTCTTCATCACGGGCGTGGAGGTGCCATCTCACCCTCCACCCTCCCCCCCATTCCCCTCCTCCCCTCCTCCTCCGCATTTTCTTTCCGCCCACCCCTCACCCAGGTGATCAACTTTGGCAATCTGAACACGCCTGACATCGTGTGTGAGGTGGTGGAAGGGGACATCACGGGTGTGGAGGTGCCAACCCCCCATCACCCCCTTCCCCCTGCCTTTTCCGCCCTCACCCCCTCCACACCCCTCACCCAGGTGATCAACTTTGGCAATCTGAACACGCCTGACATCGTGTGTGAGGTGGTGGAAGGGGACATCACGGGCGTGGAGGTGCAGTTTCTCGACAAGATGGGGCAGCGCTGTGAAGGCATCACGGATGAGCGTGTCGTGATGCGAGAGCTGCCCATTGAGGTGAGGGGGGGGAGTGGGGAGGGGAGAGCGGGGATTGCGGGCGGGGGAAGAAACTGATAGGGTGAGAGGAGGGAGGTGAGAGGGGAATTTGCTTTTGAGTCGACTCAAAAGATGAGAGGGGAATTTGCTGCACAGAGAAGCCAAGCCCAGCTGCAGGTCTGCAGGGTCACGAACCACCTCTCCCCTTCCCCCCTTTTCCCCCTTCCCCTCTTTCCCCCCCCTCCCCTCCCTCGCCCACCGTGGCCACGGGCCCACGTCAGATCAAGCCAGGCAACGTGTTCAGCAGCGAGGTGGGGCGCAAGGCGCTGCAGAGAATCACGTCGCTGCAGCTGTATGCCAACATGGAGGTCAACCCGCGCCCCGACGACCAGCTGGAGGGCCACCTTCCACCCCCACTCCCTCCCTCCCCCTCTTCCTTCTCCCGCCCCTCCGTACTCAGATCTAGCCAGGCAGTGCGTTCAACATCGAGGCCCGACACATCTGGAGGGCCAGCAACCACTCCTTCTCTTTCCCCTCCCTCCTTAGTTTTGAGTCGACTCAAAACTAGGGCCAGCAACCACTCCTTCTCTTTCCCCTCCCTCCTTCCCCACTGTCACTCCCTCCCTTGCTATTCAGATCAAGCCGGGCAACGTGTTCAACATAGAGGCGGGACGCAAGGCCCTGCAGAGCATCTCGTCGCTGCAGCTGTTTGCCAACATGGAGGTCAACCCGCGCCCTGACGACCAGCTGGAGGGCGGCATTGTGATGGAGGTGAAGGTCCGCGAGCAGGAACCCACTTCTGCCGAAGTGCAGACCGAGTGGAGCATCCAGCCCGGTGATACTGGCAAGCCCACAGTAAGCTGGCAGGGTGGGTTGGGGGCAGGGTGGGCAGGGTGTTGGGTACGGTTCATGGTGAAGTGTGGGGTTTGCAGTGCGGTGCAGTTGTCGGGAGGTAAACCCGTGCCCTGACGACCAGCTGGAGGGCGGCATTGTGATGGAGGTTAAGGTCCGCGAGCAGGAGCTTACGTCTGCCGAAGTGCAGACCGAGTGGAGCATCCAGCCTGGGGATACTGGCAAGCCCACGGTAAGCTGGCAGGATGTGGGGTACGGACCTTACGGTGTTGGGTAGGGTGTGAGGTAGGGTGTGGGGTTTGCAGTGCGGTGCAGTTGTTGGGAGGTATACCCGCGCCCCGACGACCAGCTGGAGGGCGGTATTGTGATGGAGGTGAAGGTCCGCGAGCAGGAGCCCACTTTCGCCGAGGAGCAGACGGAGTGGAGCATTCAGCCGGGAGATACTGGCAAGCCTACGGTGAGTGGGGCGCAGGGGTGTGTTCTAGATGTGCTGTGGGGTGCTGTGCTGCGTATGCGAGTCACTTCATTGTGATGGAGGTGAAGCTGCGCGGGCAGGAACCCACTTCGGCTGAGGTGCAGACCGAGTGGAGCATCCAGCCTGGGGACACCGGCAAACCCACTGCAAGTGGAGCACAGCGGTGTGCTCTACATGTGGGGCGCAGGCGGCCATGGGGGGCTGTGTTGTGTTGGCAGGGTGGTACAGTGATGGTTGAGATGAAGGATCTTCACTTCCCCATCTCGCTATTCTCCCTTCCCGTTCTCCTCCTGCTGCCTCACACACAATGCTGTCTCTCCCATCCGTCCCCACCCGCTGTCACCCGAACGCCAGCTGTCCATTCTGCCAGGTGGCAGCGTGTCATTCGAGCATCGAAACATCAACGGGCTCAATCGCTCCGTCACCGGCTCCGTCAGCGCAGGCAACCTGCTGTCGCCACAGGTACCTGCATGAAGGCATATCAATAAGTATATGTGTAAATGTTAATAATGCAAATATATATATATATATATACATATATACAGACATGTATGTACTGTAGCATGCATAAGTCTGTTGTGAATGCCAGTAGCTAGACATTGCTCTTTTCATAATGTCTCTTTTCATAATGCCTCTTTTCATAATGCCACTCCATTCTGACAGTGTCGCCAATGGAGTGCGTGCATCTGCTCATCAATGGGGTGGACGCCACGTGTCACCCTCACAGTAGGACGACGACCATAATCCCCTCTCCCCTCCTCCCTCCTCACCCGCTCCCACCATTAACCTTCTCCACAGGACGATCTGGTGTTCAAGCTGGAGTACGTGCATCAATGGGTTGGACGACACGAGTCACTGTTTTGACAGCCGTACCCACTCTCGCCCTACCTACGCCCCCTCCTTCCCCTCCTAACTTCCCCATCACAGGACGATCTGGTGTTGAAGCTGGAGTACGTGCATCCGTACATCGACGGTGTGGATGACACGAGTCCCCAACGAGTAGTGTTAGAGACATGACTCTGCTGCTCCTCTTACTCCCATCCCTTCTCCATCTTTCCATAGGACGATCTGGTGTTCAAGCTCGAGTACGTGCATCCGTACATCGACGGTGTGGACGACACGAGTCCCCAACGAGTAGTGTTAGAGACATGACTCTGCTGCTCCTCTTACTCCCATCCCTTCTCCATCTTTCCATAGGACGATCTGGTGTTCAAGCTCGAGTACGTGCATCCGTACATCGACGGTGTTGACGACACGAGTCGCAACCGAGTGGGCCGTGTGACGTGCTTCAACCACCGCAAGGTGTCGGCTGTGTTCACGGGTGGGCCGTCGCTGGATGAGGTGCCAGCTATCTGGGTGGACCGAGCCGGCATCAAGGCTACCGTCAGCGAGGTGGGTTGCTATGGGGGGACAGGACAGGGTGGGTAACAGAAGGTGGAAAGGGGTGAGACAGGATGGCAAGCGGCGAGGAAGGGACTACAGAATGGTAAAAAACGGTGCAAAGAGGTGAAGATGGGGCGAGGAAGCAGTGGTGACGTGTTTCAACCACCGCAAGGTGTCGGCGGTCTTCACGGGCGGGCCGTCGCTGGATGAGGTGCCAGCCATCTGGGTGCCGGCTTCAAGATGCTGCCCTCGGGCCTGCCCACGTCGGATAAAGTTCTTCTCCATCCTGTCCCTTCCCCTTCCTTGCTGCCCCTTTCCCTGTTGCCCATCCCCATTCCTCACTCGCAGAACTTCACCCGTCAGAGCCGCATTACCTACGGGGCGGTGATAGAGGAGGTGACGACGCGCGATGAGAACACAAGTATCTGCACCCACGGCTTCAAGATGCTGCCCTCCGGCCTGCCCACCCCTGACGGCCCGCCCACCACGCTCAGCGGCACCGGTGTTGACCGCGTGGCATTCCTGCAGGCGAACGTTACCCGTGACAACACCAACTTCGTGAACGGCACGCCTGTTGGCGACCGTACCATCTTCCAGGTAAGTCGACTGAAGGGGAGGGGGTAAGCTGAAACAGACTGCCTTGGCAAGGTGCAGTCTGCTGAGGGCCCTCCCGCCCACCATGCTCAGCGGCACGGGTGTCCCGGATGAGCGGCCCCGGATGGCGATGAGCTGCAACCCTAAACCCTAAACACCAACTTTGTCAACAGCACGTCTGTCGGCGACCGTACCATCTTCCAGGTGAGAAGGCTTGGAAACGGTCGTGAGGTTGTGAGGTCACAGGGCCTCTGCCCCTCAGAGGTCGTGGGTGTGCTGCCTCTGGAAACAGCCACAGGTCGTGAGGTGCTGCCTCCGAGGTCCCGCCCACCACGCTCAGCGGCACGGGGCGGGCTTGGGAGTAGTGGGCGGGACCGCGTGGCCTTTCTGCAGGCGAATGTGATGCGTGATAACACCACCTTTGTCAACGGCACGCCTGGTGGGTGACCGTACTATCCTCCATGTGAGAAGGCTCAATTGACAAAGTGAGAGTTGTTTATTTTTCTGTGCTCTTTTCAAGGGCCCGCCCACTACACCCAGCTGCTCAGGGCGTTTCCGCAGGCTATTGTGACACGCAATAACACCATCGCCTTGACCGCCTTGACCCCGCATTAACTGCCTCAACACCCTGCATTGACTGCCGCCGCTGGTGGGGGTTCGATTTGTTTCAGCTCCCATCCCCGCTTCCCCTTGCTCCCGCTCCCTTCACAGGTCGACCAAGGCCTGGGCATCGAGTCAGCCTTCCCATTCTTCAACCGGCATCAGCTCACGCACACGCGGTTCATGCAGCTCAGCTAGAAGGTTGGGACTGCGTGAACTGCCCTTGGCCGCCCTTCACCCATCCTTAATCGCCGCTGCTGGTGTCGGTTTGATGTGTTTCAACTCCCATTCCCCCGCCTCTTCCTCCACCCAACCCCCACAGGTGGACCAGGGCCTGGGCATTGGCTCCGCGTTTCCCTTCTTCAACCGGAATCAGCTCACGAACACGCGCTTCATGCAGCTCAGTGAGGAGGACGTGGATCGCCATTGACCGCCTTGACTGCCTTGACCCCACCTTATGTGCCGCTGCCGGTGTCCATTTGATGTGTTTCAACTCCCGTTCTCTCCCCCCCCTCCTTCTCCCCCTTCCGACTCCTGCCGACTCCACAGGTGGACCAAGGCCTGGGCATCGGATCCGCGTTCCCATTCTTCAACCGCCACCAGCTGACGCACACGCGGTTCATGCAGCTCAGTGAGGAGGACGTGGACCATGCAGACCGCCCGCCCATGGTGGGGGTGCTGCACGCGCGCTACGGGGGTTGTCTGGGCGACCTGCCATCCTATGAGGCGTATGCGCTGGGTGGGCCCTACTCGGTCCGCGGGTACAACATGGGCGAGATTGGCGCTGCCAGGCGCTTCCTCGAGGTGGGCGACTGCGTGTGGGTGTCGTTGGCTGTTGGGTATCTGTGCGGTGGGGGGGTACAGGGGTTGCATGCGCGTATGCACTGGGCGGGCTCTATTCCGTCCGCAGGTGCAACATGGGCGAGATTGGAGCTGCCAGGCGCTTCCTTGAGGTGCGTGGTTGGGGTACCTGGGATGTGTGGTTGTGTGTGGTTGTCTGGGTGCCTGGGCGACCTGCCATCCTACGAGGCGTATGCGCTGGGCGGGCCCTACTCGGTCCGCGGGTACAACATGGGCGAGATTGGCGCTGCCAGGCGCTTCCTCGAGGTGCGTGGCTGGGTTGGCGTATGGTGGTGTAGATGTTCCTCAGGGGCTGCCTGGGTGCGCAAGGTGCTTGGGGTGCTTTGGGGCGCCTGCTTGTGTGTGTGTGTGTGTGTGCGTGCGTGCGTGCGTGCGTGCGTGCGTGCGTGCGTGCGTGCGTGCGTGCGTGCGTGCGTGCGTGCGTGCGTGCGTGCGTGGGTGCGTGCGTGCGGGCGGGCGGGCGGGCGGGCGGGCGGGCGGGCGGGCGGGCGGGCGGGCGGGCGGGCGGGCGGGCGGGCGGGCGTGCGTGCGTGCGGGCGGGCGTGCGTGCGTGCGTGCGTGCGTGCGTGCGTGCGTGCGTGCGTGCGTGCGTGCGTGCGTGCGTGCGTGCGTGCGTGCGTGCGTGCGTGCGTGCATGCGTGCGTGCGTGTGTTGTCTGTGAAATTTGGGACCTGGGAGGCCACCCATTCTCATCCTCCTGCTTGGCCTTCATTCCACCGTCCCCTCTCAACTCCTCATTAACCTTTCCCTTATCCCTGCCTTCTCTGTTCGCATGCCCCCATTATCCCCTTCAGCTTGCGGGTGAGATCAGGGTTCCAGTGAAGACCACCCATGTTTACGCCTTTGCGGAGATGGCTTCAGACCTTGGCAGCTCCGGGTTGGTTTCTGGTAACCCTACCGAGTTCTTCCGCCGAGCCGGCTTCGGAGCCTCGGTGGGTGCTGGCGTCAGGCTCGGCACCGTGCGTGCGGAGTACGCTCGGGATTGCAACATGGGCACTGGCTCGTGGTTTGTCCGGTTTGGCGAGAGGTTCTAAATCTGAGTCTCTTGCACTGCAATGCAAGATTTCTTCACATGTTTTCCTCTCTTTAGGGTTCATTCACTGACAAATTCTTAGCGCTTGAAACAGTAAAAGCAATGGGGTGGACTTTATTAGATAGCCATATACCGTAGTACAGCAGAATAGAATAGTTTTTTCCACTTGATTATCTACATTGGATCATAGATTATGGATGGATGCTTGCTGTTTGGGGTTTCTCAAGTGGGTACTGCCCTGTGGCAATATTTCTGAAATTGACACATGGGAATCTCTAAATGGTCAGGTTTATCGTTCCCTCTCTCGCCCATTTTCAAGCCACTTTCGCCTAGGGGCTTTCTTGCTTGTACCGTATTTCCGAAGAAATTGTTGAAACACGTGCTGCACCCCGAGCCCCACGTCTCCTGCTCTTCCCATTTCTCGCTTCCACCTTGCACACAGATGTGCGCATTGAGGGTGGCTAGGCTCTAGGCAGACATGCGGCCTTCTGTAAAGCCTATCGTAAGTACTATTACCGTACTATTACCGTAAAGCCTTCTGTAAGTACTATTACCGTACTCTTCTAGGCTCTGTCAGGAAGCCGCACTATCTAGAATGTTGATGTATGGACGGATCGCTTACATGAAAGGAGGACAATGACGCACATCTAGTCACTTCAACTCTAGACAACAGAGTGTCACAGACGACGCCTGACACACTAACGAAAGCTAGTTTTATTCTGGAGTGTTATCAACAGGCATGCAGACAATCACTGAGGCGACAAGGATGCGTGGATGGGGTTGGAGTCCGTTGTGGAGCAGTTTCGTTGACAGATGAATGAAAGCGATTTTTCAAAGAGAGCCAAGGAGATGCCCAGAAGGTGATGCAGACAGAGGCTGGGAATGAATGGTTTGGCCAAAGAGCATCATAGTAAGCGTGACGGGCAGGGACAGATTGGTGCCACACAAGAGCACATGGAAACTCCGTGAGGCTGAACGCGGGATGTGGAACGATTGAGTGGGATAAAGAAAGCTAAAGAATCACATTTATTAACGATATACTTTACACAACCACTCATTATGAGTGGAAAAAGAGAGGGAATCGAGCCTATCAACAAACAATCCATCCAATCTGGATTTCTTCCCTTATGCTGAGGTCAGCTTAAGCGAACTTGTAGGCAGGGACCGATTTGATGGCGCTGATCTGGTTGATCTCGCAGTGGAGAATGTGCTTCTCGCCGTTAATCACGGCGTACATGGCGTTGGGCGCAATGTAGTCGCAAAGGCGCTCCGTCTGGAACGGCTCGCCGGGGAGGTTGTTCCCGGAGTGAATTTGCACGCCGGTAATCACGGCGTAATCCGCGGTAGCGGGATCCACGGTCTGCGAGATAAGGTACTCGAGGTCGTCCGTGATAGCCTGGAGCGCGGCGCGGGTGACCTGCACCAAGTTAGGCTCGTCGGTGGTAACACGGGCCGCGACCTTCCTTTTAAGGAGCACGTATTCCGCATTGTCGGGGTCCTCGACGATGGGACCACCAGCGCAAATGTCGCCGCGGATGGCGATGAGCGCACCGCACGCGTTGGAAGGCTTGCCGCGGCCGCGACGGAGCAGCGAGCCGACCTCGCCGGTCTCGCCGATGGACACGTGGGGGAAGCCAAAGAAGATGTCTGGCCGAGGAAGAAAGAGAACAAGAGGCGGGAGAGTGAGTCAGAAGCACAAGACGGCAACAGTTTTCGCCAAAACCAGAGTTTCTGTAGGCTTTTTTTTAATTATTATTCTGTGAGTCATGTTCTTCAACACGTTTGGTCGATGGAAACAGTTACAGGTACTTACATCGTTCCTTGGGCTTGCCGCTCTTGTCGCAGGGGAACTCAGGCGAGTGGCTCATGGCAGCCTTGAACCCCGTCTTGCCGCAGTTCACGAGCCCGCCCAACCCGGCGATGTTGAAGCTCATGCCGAACTCGCGGTCGATCAGGTTCACGATCGGCCGGCACACCTCGTCGCGGCACGTGTTCACCAGCGCGATGCAGTTGTCGCGCTTAAAGCCCAGGTTGCGCAGCTCCTCCGCCACCGCGTGCATGAACGTCTCCTCCTGCATCGCGTTTGGGAACGTCGCCGCCATTGTTGCCAGTGCGGGAGCCGCGGCGCGCTTCGCGCGGGGAACGTAGCCGCCGTCGAATGTCACCGGGGCGGGAGCAGCGGGAGCGGCGGGAGCAGAGCCCTTGGTAAGGAGCGCGAGGGCAGCGCCCCCGACAATACCGGCACCGAGAATCGACGGGACGAGCACGCCCGAGTTGGCGGCGGGAGCGGCGGGAGCGGCGACGGACTGGCTGACGCTGGCGAAGAGAGCTTGCTCGGACGCCTCGTTGGACTGTGCAGCGGCCCGCACGATGACGGCATGGCGCGCGCACTTGCAGCCGCGCGCGCAGCTGGTCTTCTTGGCGGCCTTGACGTGAGCAGAGGCGCGGAGCCCGGAGAAGCTGGGTAGGGCGGAGCTGGAGGCGGCATTCAACCCCGTCTGCGCCAGTGCGGCGACAGGGGCTTTAGCGGCCAGGGAGGAAGTGGTGACAGCAGCCATTTTGCTAGTGTGGTATGTGGATCAACGTGGTGACCAGCTAAAGGCTACTGAAGTGAGATACGTAGTATAGGGTGAAAAGCGCAACGGCGTAGATGATGATGAAAGTCAGAGTGTTGCATTTTATAATTGGTGGGAGTGGTGAGGCTGAGGAACAGAGGGGTGAGTTGACCATGGCAGAATTGAGGAGTCGCACCTCGGGTTCAGTTCAGGATTTCACCGAGCCGCGCTTCTTGTTCGTCCCCCATCAGCCAGGAATCCAGCTTTCAGGGGGTTCGAGCTGTGATCGCATGATAGTTGAAGAGTCAACTTGCCGGGGCGAAGGGCGTGTGAATCTGCTGGTGGCCTCAGAAGTGCCATCTGGCAAGTGCTGACGATGTGAGGTCCATGTCAGTATTATCTGTGGTGTGGTGACATCGGCGCGAAAGAGGTCCGAGTTGCCAAAGCTGGGGCTAACCTGCTCACCTTCGTTACGAACCAATGTCAAATTCAGTTACGATAAACTCGTAGAGGAATTCTGGTGCTTGTCCAGCCAAACCAGCCCAGTTCACAAGGGAAAGCGCCTCCCAGAGGAATTTCCAAATTTCAAGGCGTTTAGGGCGTTGAACATTTCGAATTTGCATTGGGCGTCCACGGCACCGTTCGGATCTCGGTATGGTTACGAGTTTCGATTTTATTCGCGATCGAACTCGTTAGGGCTCTTGCGACATCGTCAACGTGCGGAACCAACGTGAAACATTTGGGACTGAGTTTCCCGTACTGACTGTGCGAACGTTCGGAACTCCCCCGTTCGTAACACAGAGGTACAGTGATTGCGCCACTGACAGCATGTGACATCGCCTGCTCGTCTCCTAGTCGCATGCAAGTGTTGCAAGTGACAGTTGTTTGTTTGCGATTGTGTGATTGGCATTTGTGCGACGGTTCCCATATGCACAGTGCCGTTCGAAAACCCGACTTCAAAACACCGGGTCAAATGTTCCAACTTGCCAAACGTACGAGATTGGGTACGAACTGCCGTCCGGTTGGGCCCAAACCGAGCGACGGTGTGGAACTCGGGGTCTCGTACGGAACTTAACTGGAAAGAAATGTTCCACGCCCTTATCTACAATTTCTGTAGGGATATCGCGAATTGCTTTCCTTTCCATGTCCCCCCTACCTTTCACAGGTGCTAATAAATAAACAGCATTCCACACCATTTACCGAAGTTTCGTCTGCTCGTACTGCAGCATCATGCCATGGCAAGAATCTTGGCATGCATCTCTGCATGAAGAGTTTTGGTTCATCCTTGTCTAGGACTATCTTCTCCAAAGACACTGTAAACAGCGTTAGCTTTTTAAGAAGACGTGCCTGGCCAGTCGACGGTTCCGTCATACTATAATGCATGCAGATTGCTGAATGGTTTTCCGCTGTTATGCTCCGAACCAGCACGAGACCGTAGCTGTTAATTTTTTCAATTAACCGGGCGCATTTTCAGTATTATAATACCTTGACCCGTAATTTCTTCCTTGCAATGTAAACATAGAGTCACCAAGGTTCCTGCCAAACTTAACGAATGCTTCTGTTAGGAAGAGCGTTCAACAGTCCGTTATGGATTAGTTTTAATGACAGTTGGTAATAACAACTTCCAGAGAGAGTTCCAATGCGATACATCAAACGGCTGTGGATAGAGGGAATGGATGATGTGGTCAAAGAACGACACACCACCCTTTCTTAGCGTTATGGGCAAGGAACAGAAGGGTGCCACACCAGAGCAGAAGGAAACACGGAAGGGCTGAAAGAGGAGTGTGGGTGAGTGGGATAAGGATTGATAAGGATAACTACTATTATTAGCGAGATAATTTACACAACCACTCTTTCTGAGCGGAAAAAGAGGGAATTCAGCCTAGCAACAAGCAATCCATCCAATCTGGATTTCTTGCCTCATTTTGAGGTCAGCTTAAGCGAACTTGTAGGCAGGGACCGATTTGATGGCGCTGATCTGGTTGATCTCGCAGTGGAGAATGTGCTTCTCGCCGTTAATCACGGCGTACATGGCGTTGGGCGCAATGTAGTCGCAAAGGCGCTCCGTCTGGAACGGCTCGCCAGGGAGGTTGTTCCCGGAGTGAATCTGAACGCCGGTAATCACGGCGTAATCCGCGGTAGCGGGATCCACGGTCTGCGAGATAAGGTACTCGAGGTCGTCCGTGATAGCCTGGAGCGCGGCGCGGGTGACCTGCACCAAGTTAGGCTCGTCGGTGGTAACACGGGCCGCGACCTTCTTTTTAAGGAGCACGTATTCCGCGTTGTCGGGGTCCTCAACGATGGGACCACCAGCGCAAATGTCGCCGCGGATGGCGATGAGCGCACCGCACGCGTTGGACGGCTTGCCGCGGCCGCGACGGAGCAGAGAACCGACCTCGCCGGTCTCGCCGATGGACACGTGGGGGAATCCGAAGAAGATGTCTGA